GTATCCAATATGATTCCGACCCCTACTGTCATACCGAGATTTTTCATACAAAATTACTTTGATTTGCACTTTATCAGCTTTATCATTCACATGTTACCTGTATGTCTATCTTGCCAGCCATTTGTTACTATTAATAGATTTCATAACAATAACATACAACGTGTAGTCACATGATTCTGGGAGAAACTGTTTATAATAAATAAGATAAAAAATAGAATAGGTGTCATATGATACAAACAACCAGATAATTTAAAAGTGTCATTTCAAATATCATGCATGATTTATTTATCATAAAATAGCAACGCTTGACACTTTAAAAAAAGTAAAAGCATCCCTAAATTCAACGACTGGTCCATAGGGATACGTCATTAATTCATTTTATAAATATTGTAATGTTGCTTTTTACGATGTCGGTATTTGAATATTTCATTTCATTTAGCAACATTATTGTATGTTTGAATTTTTGAGATTACTGAAAACAATAGAAGTCTTTAATTGTTCAGTAATTGTTATGCTTTTATTTACAGAAATTAATGCCTTCTCCTACCATAGGTATAATATTAAACTGTTACAAATATAGTCGCCGGTTTCTACCGGCGACTAATTACACACAAAATATTCAAGTTCTAGGCCTTGCACTTTCAAACCGGAACCTATAAGCTTCAGATCAAGGAGAAAGATGTATACATAGGTGGTAAAAGCGCAACACATCCTTTTTATACCCATGGCAAAATCTTGACATTGCATCATCTTAGGTGACCTTGACCTCTGACCTGGTTCATGTGCATGACAGGAAGTCTAATGATGAACATTTGTGCCTAAAAAACTCAATTCATGTTATTTGAAAATTCCTCCATGCACAAAGAAGTTATGGCATGGACAAGTTTGGTTATACATGCAAGCACACGCCAACACTGAAAGCCATTTTGACAATTATGTTGAACTCAGCACAAGTGGGCTTGACAAAAATCTTCTGACCACTAAACATAAAACTTCAAAGTAGACAGCCAAATTTTGATATTTTTATTTGAACTTGGACCACTTGTGATCTTGACCTTCATTTTGCACAAGACAACTCAACTCACCATGGACAATATTTGTGCTAAGTTATATTAAAATCCATGCATGTATATAGAAGTTATACTCACAAATGAATGTTTTAATTTGTTATTTGACCTTTGACCATGATGTAAAATCTTGACCTTTACTGCAGACACTTGAATTTTTTGCATGACCCTCTGCCTCACTATGGAGAACATTTGTCCTGAGTTACATTAAAATCCCTCCACGTATCTAGAAGTTACACTCTGGACATGGGTTTTGAGTGTGACCTAGACCTGTTAGCAGCAGACCTGGGTTTTGCGTGTGACACACCACCCCATCATGGTGAACATTTGTATCAAACTATTTTGTAATCCTTCAAAGAATGAGCAAGATATAGACCAGACAAATCTAGACAAAAGCACAGACTGATGGAAGTACATACACCAAACCACTAAACGTGAAAAGTGCCCACTAAGTCGACCTCACTACAAGCGGGCTCAACAATGCAAAAATCCTCTGATCATAGCATAATACTTTAAAGCATAAGCAAGATACAGTGCCAACAAACACATTTTGACATTTTTATTTGACTGCTAAGTGTGACCTTAACCTTTAACACAAACACCTGTATTTTTCGGAAAGCTCTCTGCCTCAGTATCAAGACCATTTGTCCCGAGTTATATTAAAATCCCTCCATGCTATGAAAGTTAAGCTATGGACACAGGTTTTGCTCTGACCCCAAAGTGTGACCTTGACCTTTGAGCGACAGACCTGGGTTATGCGCCAAACACACTACCCAATAATGGTGAACATTTGAGCAAGATACTGTGCCAACAAACAAATCTTAATATTTTTATCTGACCCATGACATTAAGTGACCTTGACCTTCATTTTGTGAGAGACAACTCAACTCAACATGGAGAACATTGGTGCTAAGCTATATTAAAATCCATCCATTTATATAGGTTATTTTTGAAAATAAATATTTTATTTCATTTGACCCCTACCTGTGACCTTGACATTTACCACAGACACCTGATTTTTTCCAGCAACACTCCGCCTCACTATGGAGAACATTCCCAAATTATATCTAAATCACTTCATGTATGTTACACTCCAGACACGGTTTTGCACTGACCCCAATGTGACCTTGACCTTTGAGCTGAAGACCTTGGTTTTGTGTGCAACATACCACTCTATCATGGCGAACATTTGTACCAAATTATTTTGTAATACATCAAAATATAAGGGAGATACACTGCCAACAAACAAATCTTAATATATTAATTTGACCTTTGGCCTCTTGTGACCTTGACCTTCATTTTGCGGGGGAAAAAAAAGAACTTAACATGGAGAACATAAATCCATGTATATAGAACCTATACACAATGTTTCACGCCAAATATCTAACCTCTAGCCATTGTCAAGACAAGATTTTTTGATGTTTTTACTATATACATATAAGGAAAATTTATGAACCCCTGAGGTGAGGCCATTTTTGACCCCAGAGCTATAATTTGAACAATTTTTCATGAGATGATGCTACAAACAAATATCTAAGCTCTAGGCCATGCACTTTCAGAGAAGGAATTTTTTTTTAAAGATTTCATTTTTAAAATCTAATTTTAGCACTCCTGACCAAGATGGAGCAAACCAATTGAACAATTCTTGTAGAGCTTCATGCTAGGAACATCCCAGGAAAATTTCATCATATTTGGCCCAGTTGTTTCTTGGAAGAAGTCTTTTATACAGACGCGAGACAAAAATGATTAATCGCAATTTATGTAATTTTTATTTATACCAATCTCATCAATGTTTATTGAATTTGTGAAGTGACAAAATAGTGTATGTGACGTGCATTTCCATGTGTTGCAAGGAACCGGAAAAAATGTGTGTTATTCCACCACCCATCTTAACTTCACAAGAGTTTGAAAAATTATTTAACATATTATATGACTTTGGCTTTTTTGCGCTACGCAAATTGCGCATGCGCAAAAAAAATACTATCTCCGGTCATTTTTTCATAGCAACGGACCGCGTCGTAAAAAGGTCTATACATGGTGTGAATCATAATGTCCTTATAATGTGCTGAAATTATTTTATAAATATCCCTGCAAAGCTAACATATGCCTTGCCAAAGTTCATGACCTCAAATCATTTCATGAAGATCTCTGAAAAGCAAACAAGTCATGATCCTTAGACTTACTCCCAGCTATTTTATCTTTTTTTTAGAAAAATTGCAGAACATCATAACATGTACACATGTATGAAAGACATTCAAATATCAGTTGTTTCCCTTATTATTCAACTATGATTTATGAAATTGCAGACCAATTTTGACCCAATAGCTTCTATTTAAATAACCGTAAAAGATGTTCACTAGGCAATGTTTAATGCTAAATATGTAAGCTCTAGCCCTTGTAGTTTAAAGAACAAGATCGCATTTGTGAAAAATGCTATGCCACCGCATTACTACAACACTGTTGACTAAATAGTAGTGTAGGAACCGATTTTTTTTTGTTTTTATACAACTGAAGAGTGTCATAATGCATAGATCCCTGACCTATCTAATTTTTATTATCAGTTTAGTGGTTAAATCTATTGTTATTCAAAGAAAAGATCAGAGTAGGAATATATCAATGCAGTTGAGTCTAGTGAATTTGGTGGTGAAGTTCATATTTCACACAGCTTAAATTTCATGACTACATCAAAGGACACTTTGTCAAAATCTAGGTCAGCTGATATCGAAGTTCACTTTACATCTTAATCTATGCACATGGTTCAAATTTCATAGCTGTACATCAAAGGACAAGAAAGTAGGTCACATCATCAAAATCTAGGTCACCTGATATCAAAGTTCAATTTTATAACTAAAACTGTGCACATGGTCAAAATTTCATTGCTGTACATCAAAGGACAAGAAAGTAGGTCACTGTCCCCTTGGGCAACGCAAAATTTTGACCCAAGGGTTTAATTTAAAACAATCTTGATACAGGTCCACCAAACAACATTTCATGTCAAATATCTTAACTGTAGCTTTCTCCATTTCAGAAAACATTTGTTTTAGTTTCTGTTTTTACTATGTGTACATAATGAGAATCAATGCCCCCAGGCAGGGCCAATTTTGACACCAGGGGAAAAATTTGAACAACTTTTGTAGAGGACCTATAGATGATATTATATAGCAAACATCAAAGCTCTATGCCTTGTACCTTCAGACAAGAAGATTTTTAATCTTTTTCTATATGTTCATAGTGAACTTCAATGACCCCCGGGGCGGGCAAATTTTGACCCCAGGGCTATAATTTGAACAATCTTGGTAGAGGTTCACTTCGCAAAGTCTCATGCAAAATATTTAACCTCTAGCCTTTGTCAATTCAAAGAAGAAGATTTTTCAAGTTTTTACTTTATACATATAAGGAAAACTATCGCCTCTGGGGCTGGGCAATTTTAACACTAGGAGCATAATTAAAACAACTTTAGTAGAGGACCCATAGATGATATTATTTACCAAATATCAAAGCTCTAAGCCTTGTACCTTCAGACAAGATTTTTTAATTTTTTACTATATGTACATAGTAAACATCTCTTTTCGACAAATGTTTGTTTGTTTAATTGGGTTTTACGTCACACCAACACATTATAGGTCATATGGGTAAGTTCCAGCTTTACTGGTGGAGGAAGACCTCAGGCACAAAAGGGCACCTGAGTAGAACCAACGACGTTCAGTAAGCTAGCTGGATAGCTTCCTCACATGAAAGAATCCAAAGACCCTGTTGGGATTCAAACCCACAGCGGTGAGGGGCAAGTGGTTTGAAGTCAACGACCATAACCACTCGGCAACCGACGCCCCTCTTTTTGACTAAAATTAAGCCATTTGTAAGAGATATATATATATATATATTTGGGTTTTTTAAAATAAAATTCAGACTTCAAACAGTGTGAATGTAGTTTACCATGGGATTAGGAGGCGGTTGATTAAATCTTGATTGCACCTGTGGTGGTTGTTGATGATGCTGTTGTTGCATGGGAGGTCTGGTTGTTGGTAACATACTGTTGTTAGGCTTTTGTGGTGGTGGACCCTCACCTAACTCAGCCATTAAGGATAAGTACTGAAAATGAAAACAATTCAAGTAACCTCCTTAAACAATAGGGCCATGATGGCCCTGAAATCGCTCACCTGTATATAGAATCTCTACATGATAAGGAACAAATAATATTGTAAACTATAAACAAAAGCAGATATAAAATCTAAATCTTAAACTGATACCACCAAGCTCAAATTTGTATCTTCAGTTTTTAATATATACATATAAAGAATATAAAAGACACCCCTCTCCCCAAGGCCAATTTTGACCCCAAGGCTTTTATTTAAACAAACTTGGTAGACACTCACTAAAAAATATTTCATGCTAAATATATAAGATCTAGCTCTTTGGGTTTTTTAAAAGAAGATTTTTTAAGATTTTACTCTATACATATAGGGAAAACAATGCCCCCCCCCAAGGGGGTGGCAAATTTTGACCTCAGGGCTTTTATTTGAATAAACTTGGTAGACACTGTTTCATGCCAAATATCTAAGCTCTTTGTGTTTTTTGAAAGAAGTTTTTTCCTTTGGTTGCCATGTCAACCAGAGTTCTGCATGGGAACAACATTTAAAGGTGACCACCAAAGGAACATTCCTGTGAAGTTTGGATGAAATTGATATAGCGGTTTATGAGATGTTGTTTAAAGTAAAAGTTTATGGATGCTGGACAAAAAGCGATCACAAAAGCTCACAATGTCACTGTGTGACAGGTGAGCTAAAAACAAGGAACAACAAGAGCCACAACTTTTTACTTTTTCTAAAAGCAAACAAAGAAATGTTTGAACAAATCGTTTCCTTTTTATAAATTTAATCGGTCTGTCTTGTCACATTAGTTTTGCCAAAGTTTGAATCCTTTCCATATATATACGCATGTGTATTACAGAAGAAAACAAGAGCCGGTTGAACCGGGTGATGCTCCCCGAATAGGTTTTGGAGACAGGAAGGATACCTCTTGTAGTGTCAGAGTTATGTCACAGACAAAGTTCAAAGTATAAAAACAACCCAAATGTTGTGCACGACACATTATCTCATTATGGTGATCATTTCTGTGAAATAGTTGTAAAAATCCGATTTTACTGCAAGGTCATGCTGTGACCTTGACCATCAAGGTAGTGACCCAAATGTAACATGCGACATGTCAATTCAATATGGTGATCATCTCTGTGAAATAGTTGTTAAATCTGACTTCAAGTAACGTAGTTATGGGCTGGACACAATTTTGCTGCAAGGTCATGCACCTTTACCTTCAAGGTAGTGACCCAAATGTTGCGCGCAACACTTCGTCTCAATATTGTGATCATTTCTGTGAAATAGTTTTAAAATCTGACTTCAATAACAAAGTTATGGGCCGGACACGATTTTGACCTTCAAGGAAGCGACCCAAATGTTGCGCGCTGCACGTCATCTCAATATGGTGATCATTTCTGTGAAATAGTTTTAAAATCTGACTTCAAATAACAAAGTTATGGGACGGACACGATTTTGCTGCAAAGTCATGCTGTGACCTTTACCTTCAAGGTAGTGACCCGAATGTTGCGCGCAACACTTCGTCTCAGTATGGTGATCATTTCTGGAAAATAGTTTTAAAATCAGACTTCAACTAGAAATGTGTCCATAGGACACGGGTGCCCCCACCGCGCCACTGTTCTGTCAATCTTTTTACTAAGTCAAGGGAAATAACTCTACAAATACTGGATAAATCCACAAGCGAAACCCCAGGTGCAAATCTAAATATGCTGAGCAACCTGCCCATAAGGTTTAATGACTCTATGTCAAATCCTTTTTGAGTAACTTGCGACACAAGTTGAAAACTGCAAAAATTTTCTAAGTCAAGGGCAATAACTCTAAAAATACTGAATAAATCCAGACGAAAATACCTGGCGTACAACTGCACATGCTGATCAATATTCCTGTGAAGTTTCATGACTCTAGGTGAAATACTTTTTGAGTTACGTGCGACACAAGTTGAAAATTGCAAAATTTTACAAAGTTAAGGGCAATAACTCTGAAAATACTAAAAATATCCAGACGAAAATACCCAGGTGCACAACTACACATGCTGATCAACATTCCTGTAAAGTTTCATGACTCTAGGTGAAATACTTTTTGAGTTACGTGCGACACAAGTTGAAAATTGCAAAATTTTACTAAGTCAAGGGCAATAACTCTGAAAATACTAAAAATATCTAGACGAAAATACCCAGGTGCACAACTACACATGCTGATCAACATTCCTGTAACGTTTTATGACTCTAGGTCAAATACTTTTTGAGTTACATGCGACACAAAAGTGAACGGACGGACGGACAGACGGACGGACAAGGGTAAATCTAAATGCCCGCCACTAAAGTGGGGGCACAAAAAACAAAGTTATGGGCCAGACACGAATTCGGGACGTACATACGGACGGACGGACAACCCGATGACTATATGCTCCCCTGAAATTTTTCAGGGAGCATAAAAAAGGAAAAGATATATAAATATACACACATAAATTTTATGTAAAATTTCTAACTTGCCGTATATAAACAAAAAACGCTATTTAAATTTGCCGTAGCTTTCGGCCTTGCTGCCTTCTTCAGCAGCATTTATTTTACATACAAATATATCCAAACAAAACAATGGAACTGACGTTAAGCCAATGAACGACGCCCGCCATGGCGTTGTTTGCCGTCTGCCGCGTTACTCTTTGGTATTAACTCCATATGGTCTATAGGTTCTTAATTTATTTTTCCACAAATTTTCTATTGTTTTTCTGTATTGGTCATTCCCGTATAGCTTTTCCAGCACCATTATTGAAAAATCATTAACTGTGTGGTTGTTCATGTAAAAATGTGCTGCTAACGGATCGTTGTATTTGGTTCGTATTCTGGATAAATTTAGAAGGTGTCTTTGGTACAACGTATCCCCTGTTTCTCCAACATAAATATAACGTTCGTAACGCTTACAATAAACTGCATACACCACATTCGTAGATTAACACGTGATCTGATTTCGTACCTTGTGACAGACACATTTATTGGTGTTACCGGGGCCTCGTACAAGGTACGAAATCAGATCACGTATAAATCTACGAATGTGGTGTATGCAGTTTAAAATCTCTAACTTGCCATATATTCAAAAACGCTAATTTTATATATACATATATATATATATATATAATAAATATATATGGTCATTTAATGCACACATCAGTGCACAGGTGAGCTAAAAAGTGGTACATGTGCCTGATTAACTTTCCAAAGTTGTAGGTTTGTTATTGGTAATAACAGCAATGCTGCAATATTTAAATGTTGAAATGAAAGTTAAGCACTCATGACAATTCTTCCCTACAGAAGCACAATAACACATTTATTTAAACAATATGTCTAATACCGTAGAGAATGTGCATTTATCATCAGACAAAAATGAAAGTAGCAAATATCGTGAACCGGAAGTATATATTAATGTATGCATGTAAAATGACAGAACATTATTTATACAAATGTCATTTACGTTGATAATACACATCAATACCTAGGCAATTATTGGACTAACAGCTGACACGTTTCTTAAAGAAATATTTAAATGTACCAATTAAAGTCACTTTTACAACGTGTTAATGATACTTGATGACCAGCAGTTTTTAGCTCTGACAGCTATTTTGAGCAGCAATACAGAACATGCCGGCGATATGCACAACTAGGGATGGTAATGATCACTCATATGAAGTTTCATTGAAATCCCATCAGCACCTTGACTTGTGAAAGCAGGACAAGATTTTCCCTTTATAGCTCTGGTTGCCATTTTGTGCAGCGATGCAGAACATGCCAGCAATATGCACAAATAGGGATGGTTCTGATCACTCACCAGCAGCTTGACCTGTGAAAGGAGGACAAGATTTTTCAATTTATAGCTCTGGCGGCCATTTTCACGGGGGAGGAACTGTTACACGAAGGATGGAGTTCTTATGATAACTTGTTTGGAGTTCTTCTGATAACTGTCACAGAGTTCCTGGAAAACGTTATGGATTTCTGTGCTAAATTAAACTTTGATAATTAAGTTTGCCCTACATAATGTATTATGTTTCAGAAAAACCTTTTTTTTCCCCATTTTTCAACGCCTTTTTAAAAAAAAATCTGGTAGTTTTGAGTAAAATTTCAAAATTACTCGTTCGTTCGTACATATTGACCTTTTCATTTGTGATCTTCTTTGTTGCTATACTTAATTACCTAATTACCTAACATAAAGCCCAGGCTAATCAATTTATACCAGATTTTTCAAATGTCACAGAGTTCTTGTGATAACTCAAAATATATCCTGGAGTTCTTATGATAACTTTTTAAGCTTATTTTATTAGTCAGTAAATGAGTAAATCGTAAGAATGAAAGAAACTAATTGCTTAATATTGTTCTTTGTATTATTGTACCTGTAATCTCTAATTGTGATAGCCTGAACCTTCAAAATATAAGTGTGACCTTGACCTTTGAAGAAGGGACGGGTTTCCGGATGCGACAGAATGTTGTTATGAGATAGACATTTGTGCCAAATTATTTCAAAATCCCTCAAATAATGACAAAATTACAGTCTGGACATGATTGTTGTGTTAGTGGGAACACACAGACGGACATGAGCCTTAGCCGCAATACATTGTCTTGATGTGGTAGACATTTGTGCCAAGTTATTTTTTGTTTGTTTTGATGCCTTCTTTAAAGATGCTATATATACTTATGAAGCTGAAGGCGTATGAAAAATAATAGCCCCCCATCCAAGCTTGAGTGAAGGATGAGGGGCATTATTTGAATACAGCCTGAGGCTCAGTAAGTATATACCCTCCCTGTATCTTTTCTTTGTTACGTATTTTACCCTACCCTGGATTATTCAAAGCAACAAAACATCTTTGTAATATGATCAGGTATTTTATGTTGTTTTTTTTTTTAAAAAGAACATGCTCATTTGTAGGGTGTTAGGATAACATGCTATATATACTTACTGAGCCTCAGGCTGTATTCAAATAAGGCCCCTCATTCTAAAGTTTGGATGGGG